GGCAGCGAGGTAGAATCGGGGGGCGGGGCTGAGCTGGCAGCGATGTAGAAGCAGGCGTTGATCTTCTTCTGCGGAGGCGGTGCTTATCCACACTATTACATCATAGATTAGAACATTCCACAAGCTGTCGTTTTGGCCTGGTTTCAATATCTGTTTTATACTACCGATAAAGTTTTGAGTTGTGAAACTTACTTGATGTTTTTATAGCACAATGACCTCTTATATGTCAATAGATCAAGACAATTTTGGTTTCTCAGTTCATGACCCCTTTAAGCTGCATCGCATTAACAATAGTTTGCAGGTGAAAATCATCCATTTACTGTTTTCAATAGTTTCAAACCAAGCAGCATTATGTCAGTAAAATTGAAACATGCAAAATATGTGTGAGGATATTTCGTCCTCACACAAAACTCCTGATCATGTGGATTTCTATTAAAATGACTGGATTTCACCATTTGTGAAAATTTGTCAAACATGGTAATGTGATCTCACCTTTATTTCTGGATTACGGCATATTTAATTGAAAACATAAATGAAAAGTCTACAAGAATTCTAGTCAAGTGAAAATATGTGACTAGATTCATGAAATACAATCGGAACAAATTTCTCCGTAAATTGATTGTAGAACCGATTATTGCATTGAATTCAATTCGTTTCACGAACACAAGCAGAACAAATTTGTGATGATCATTTGTAAATGAATACTTATGTGTACTGTCAATGTAATTTTAACCAGTTTCATTTTAGCCAGTGCAATTTTTTTTTTATCTACCTTATTTTGGTTGAATTTTGAATTTGAAATTTGTAAATGTAATGTGTGGCTTCTGGTCTCATCCACTTCCAGCTATTTTTAGCTATATAAAACAGCTCATTTTGCTGCTTGATATTGCACACTGGTGTTTCTTACCATATTATTTTAATGTATTGTCTAAATTATAAACACACTGGTTTGTAGTGCAAACAGTTTTACTGTTTACTGCACTTTGTTATTCTTCTCGTTATTTCACTACAGTGACTAATGAACCGTATGTCTCGCACATTCACAGAAAACAGCTTACTTCTGTGTTAAAAAATAAGGTGGATAGTCAACGTGGTAAAAATTGACCCTGAATTGTAGTTAACTTTAATACAAGTTTTCCGTATTATTGCACAACATTAAAAACATTTCTGGAAGTAAAATGTGATTTTGAATGGCGTTTCACATTGGTTTTATGCAATGTCTAATTTTCACAAACATGTTTTCCTGAGTTTTATTTGTATACTAGAATTTTAAGTATATAGTATGTATGTAATAGCAGTTTTTCACTGGCTCATTGACACCAAGACAATAACACAACCTATCTCTAGACACTATGTCTGTCCCTCACATCCTCATTTTCATTTGTAGCTAATTAAACATTGCGTAACAAAGATCCATTGGTGCTTTTGTATCCGTTATGACCAGTTCTGCAATAAAAGCCACTTTGCCTACAAATTTATGGTGTTTTTAATGTTTTTGACAGATGAGGAGGTCGGTGGTCACAAAGGAATGGAGACATTTGTGAAGCACCCTGAATTTCAAAAGCTGAACATTGGTTTTGCCCTTGATGAAGGTAAACAAACCTGCAGATTCAGTCTTCTAGTTGTTGTAGTTGCTTTAGTATTCTCAGGTTTTCTCAGAATTTTAGACTTGATTTTAACAGAGTGAGGGGTGAATTCATTAAACGGTTAAACTGCTTTAGCACTACTCTGAACAGAAAGACACAAACTGTGCTCCCTTATACTTAAGCTCATCCGTGAAACAGTGCAGCATTCACATACAATACAGTACCATTCAATCTTCATACAATTCAGTTTTTAAACTAAAACATGTATGCACTAATATTAAAGAGAGTTTTTGCCTGTTTTATTTGTTCACAGGTTTGGCAAACCCAACCAATGCCTATACTGTCTTCTACGGAGAAAGGAACCCCTGGTGTGAGTATCACATATGCCAGTAGCCACATTTACTCTGTGTGTGTGTGTGTGTGTGTGTGTGGGTGTGTGTTAACAAACATGTGCTCTGTCCTGCAGGGATCACAGTCCGCTGTCCAGGAAGTCCAGGTCATGGTTCCAGGTTTGTGGAGAACACAGCAGCAGAGAAACTAGTGAGTGTGTTCAGAATGTAATGTGGCCAAACATTTTTATTTTCTGCAAGGACAAATTAATTTGATCAAAAATAAAAACATTTATAATGGTGCAAAAGATTTCTATTTCAAATAAATGCCATTTTTTTTACTTCAACAATTCTGAAGTTCGAAATATTCGAAATATCCGGCGGTGCAACTGTTCTCAACATTGCTAATAATCAGGGGCCGGATTCATGAAACATTCTCAAGAAAAAGTCTTCTTAACTGCCATTTTCTTCTTATTTTTCAAATTAAGAAAAAAATTCTGTTTTTTATATTCCCAAAAAAATCTTCTTAAGAATGTTCTTATCTTTTTTCTTAAGATTGCTCATAAGACAAATCTTAAGACGATTTCAAATTCTTGAAAAGAAGCTTCTTAAAAATCATCCTAAATAACTTCGTAAAGTTAGGATAGCCCCAGACTTGTCTTAAATCCCAAATAGTAAGAATGATTTATTTATTTATACACCATGTCTACACCGGACGCGAGCAAAATACTATAGAACCCATTATAATCAGTGACGCTGTCTACACTGGATGCGCCGATTTCGTGTATGAGTATAGAAGCCATATGATTACAACTGCCATCAATTGAGGCGTCACGAAATTCTGAAATTATCGTACTATATGGGATTTTATTATTGTACATTGTACAGAGGTCAAAATTATCGTACAAATATTAGTGCGTCTTCAGCCATTTATTCATTTATTCTTCTTAAGAAAAAAATTAAGATGTTCTTAGGAAACCTTTTTAATTTTTCAAGAATTGCACTTAAAAACATTCTTACGAACTTCGTGGAATTTATCTTAAGAATATTCTTAACTTATTTCTTAAGATGATGTTCGTGAATCCGCCCCCAGAAATGTTTCTTGAACAGCAAATCAGCATATCAGAATGATTTCTGAAGGATCTTGTGAGATCCTTATAAATTAAGTAATATCTTCTCTTATTTGTGAGGGCACAGCAAACAGACGTTGAACTATTAGAAACAAAACTCTTTCAAAATGTATAATAGTTGTACATGCAGTTTTCTTGTTTATTCTCCTATTAATTGACAAACTACATTAAATATGTGTACTATTAAAAAAAACAGCAATATTTAAAATGAACAAATGAAGGCAAAAGGTTGTTTATATTAAATTGCAAGTAACTTATATGCATTTTAACCTAAAATCATGAAGTTTATTTTATCCTGAAGTCTATTTTTATCCTGTTTCTGATGCATCTGTCTGTGTTGTGTCCACAGCAGCGAGTTATAAACTCCTTCCTGGAGTTCAGAGAGAAAGAGAAACACCGGTGAGCTTCATTCTCAATCTGTGTTCTGAACATCTGGTTAAAGGAGATCTGTTAAACGTGAAACTACACCTGTGTGTGATTTCCAGGCTGAACACCAATGAGTGTTTTACTCTGGGTGATGTCACCACTGTTAACATTACCATGGTGAAAGGGGGCGTGGCTTACAACGTGATTCCAGTGGAAATGGATGTCAGCTTTGACTTGAGAATCCCGCCCACCGTTAACCTGCAGGTGTGTATCTGGACCATTACATGGGATCCGAACACGAGTTCAGTTACACCCCCCTCCCTTTGAAAGTCTCTTTTTATTTATTAAATTATTTGGCTTTGAACTGATTCTTTCGCCATGTGTCACTACCGATTCTGTTCACTGTACAGGAGTTTGAAGAGAAGATAAAAGCCTGGTGTAAAGAAGCTGGTGAGGACGTGACATATGATTTTGCACAGGTCAGATTTATTTTTACACACCAAACACAATTCCATCTGGCCTGATCTCACATCTGGTAATTTCATGTGTCTGCCAGGAGACTATGGCCACATACACACTGTAGAGATTCAGGAGTGACACCTACATTTAAATACGGGGGTGAATTATCGAAATTATCGTCAGAACTTGCTCTCGAAACTGCTATGATTTACATCATGCTAACCGTTGCATGTGGCATCTTGCACATTTGGTCTCACTTTTTAATTTTACATTGACCAAAGATTTATGTTTGGCGATTTTAAAGGGGTGGTTAAATTTTTCAATTTTTTAACATTAGTTAGTGTGTAATGTTGCTGTTTGAGCATAAACAATATCTGCAAAGTTACGAAGCTGAAAGTTCAATGCAAACGGAGATACCGTCTTTTAAAATTCTGGCAGTTTAATGCCTACAAAAACGGCTGGTAGGGACTACAACGAGTTACTTCCCGTGATCATGACATCACAAACCCTGATAAACCCCGCTCTCGGGAAAATGCAGCAAAGGGGGCGAGGCCATGCTGTGCTGCTATAGAGAAGAGGAAGAGAAAACTAGAGCTGCCCGTAAAAATCTATTCATATATGAATCGCGATTCTGTCTTCTAACGATTCTAATGGATTCACAAGATTCAAAATCAATGTTCTAAAGCAGCGGTTCTTAATACTATTCCTCGCGTTCCCCTGCTCTGCATCTCTCTCTCTCTCTCTCTCTCATTCAACTCAGTTCCAACAATGAACTGTTCCAATTATACACTTATTTTCACATAGCTATGAGAAGAGTTACACATGGTTTGCAGTTGGCGTACTGTATTAAAGCTTTAATCAGGATAAAACCGTATATTAAAAGCTAACATAAGCAGTAGCATTTACAAATAACAGCGTATCTAAAAGTATGAGACAACAACAAACAAAAAACATAGGCCTACCATTAAAAGCCGTGCTTGCACAGATTCTGCACGATCCTCTTCAATAATATCATCTGCTTCTCAATCGGGCTCAAACTGATAAGCGATATTAACGACGCCATTGTTTACAATACAACCGGAGCACATGCCGCTGAGGAGAGGGGCGGGACG